AAGGCATTCAAATCGATGGGAGGTGGCATCGCGACTGGAGTCAATGCATTCGCCTTGTTGCTCTGTGGGAGCGGGCCTGATAATGGTGAGTCACCTTCCTTGCCCTTTCCTTCCTCTGCAGCACCTGGGAGACTGAACGTTTTACCAAAGAAGCCAGATGGCGCACTTGGACCTGCAACGGGGCTTGATGCTTGACCGAGTACCGGCGACTGAATACTTGGAGTCTCAGCCTTGCCCGTGGGATTTCCAAATAGACCAGAGGTAGACGGGACGGGAACCACGCCACTTACAGGTGGAGGTGCTGTCGTGGGAAACGAAGAAGAGAAATCAGCATTTGAGGGAGGAAACACGAAGCGAAAGCCTTACGTTTTCCAAACAAACCGAGGGTCGGGAGTGGTGCAGGTGTTGTGGAAGTCGTTGAAGAAGTTTGGACAGCAGTTATGGGTGGCGTGGCAGGCGTGGCAGGCGTGGCAGGTGTTGCCGCAGGTTTCGATGAACCAAAAGCAGACAGAAGTGGCGGGGTTCTCGGCCGAGGCGGTTTACTACTTGGGGCCGCATCGTCATCGGACTCATCTTTTGTGGCTAAGGTTGCAATACGAGGTTGGGGAGATACGAGCGGCTTCGCAGGCGAAGGAGGCGTTTCGTCATCGTCAGCAAGAGACACCGCGGAGCTGGCCAACGGAGAACTACGAGTTGGGCGAGTGCTAGGTCGGCCCAAGTTCAAGCCAAACGGGGTGGAAGGTGCCTGGGAAGGAGCTGACACATGTACGGGCCGAGTGGGAGGCGGGGTAACTTCTTTTTGTGGTGTCCCTGGAGGTGTTGTGCTTCCTTCCTGGATTTTCTGTGACGAAGTTTCCGGTGGAGGTGAGGGTGTAACCTGGACCTTGGGCACTTCTGGTTGTGGAGTCGAAGAGGGAGAGCGAGATTGGGGTAAGGGCACTGAAGCTGGCTCGGGAACGGCACCCTTGTTTTTCGAGCCCTCTTTCGCTCTCTCTTCCTCTTCCTCTTCCTCATCTTCCTCAGGCACATCGGAAAGCTGAGACGGTTCTTCTTCAGACTCAGATGACTCCTCTTCTTCCTCTTCTTCCTCATCTTCGACCTCCAAGTCATCGGACAAGAAGCCATCCCGCTCTTCTTCAGCATCTTCACTGCCAGAACGGACATCTCCCTCATCTGATTCTTCACCATTGACTTCATCAAAGGAACTTGCAACAGAAATTGTCGAAAGGTTGCCAAAAGACGGTTCGTCAGACGAGTCACCTTTCTCCAGACCCTTGCCTTTTGTGTCAGGTGATGCTAAAGGAATGAATGTCAGAGATGGTACTCGAAAGGACATAGCGAGAGAATGTACAACTTGACAAAATGTCTTCTCTCTTCAGTGGCTCCTTTGGAGGTGTTGTCACAGGAGCGGATGCATCTTTGCTGATAATCGGGAAAACAGACACAGGCTTAGGTTTCTCTGCCTCCGCACTTGTGCTCGTGCTAGGCTTGACCAGATCTTTCGTGTCATTATCTCCAGCTTTCAATAGCTCATCAAATGACACCTTTGGCCCTGAAAATGCCCCAAATCCTGAAGACGCTCCGCTGAACGCTCCGAATCCCCCAGTGGCGGGCGCCTTAGCGGGAGTCGGCGATCCCGCCGGAGCAACGGGAAAGACTGATCGTGCAGCCCCAAGCGCCGAGGAAGACCCAAACGCAGGAGTTGTAGAGGTTGACAGCGCCCCGGTCGAACTTGGTGAGCCGGCAAGCGCAGTTGGCAGACCCGAGGTAAATGGACTTTTCGTATCCGCACTGGCATTGAAGAACGGAGATGACGTGGGGGTTTTATCACTCCCAAAAGCACCGAAACCTGTGGCCGGTTTGAAGACAGAAGGAGTTGTGACGAGATTAGCAAAGGCACCCGGAGTCGGTCCTGCAACCTTGCCAAAAGGTGAAGAAGCCGGAGTAGTCGAGGCATTATCAGTAGACTTTGCTGGAGATTGATCATCAAAAGAAGCTTTCCCCAGTCGTGGTGTAGCATCTGGCGATGACGGCGGAGACTCCGCTAGGATAGTAGGCTTCACAGACGCCCTGGTCGGTAGACTCTCCAAAGCTTTGACTTCCTTCTCAGATGGCGATTTCACAGCTGGAGATGCAGAAAATCCAGACGTTCCGAACGTAGATCCTGTACCAAACGCCCCAGTTCCGGAAGCGGCTGCAAAGCTACCACTGACTGGCAAAGTAGTCGAGGCAGCAGTGCCAAACGGCGATGCTGCAGAAGATGCAAAAGCACCAAACCCACCAGACGCCGGAGTGCCTGACTGTTGAGCTATCGCGGCAAAAGAGGACGGTGCTGATGATGCAAAGGCTCCAAATCCTCCGCCAACAGCAGATGCCGGTTGAATAGCAGCTGGCTTACCAAACGACGATTGCCCAAATGTTGATTGCTGTCCGAACGACGGACTACCAAAGGACGACTGTCCAAAGCCGGATGCAGGTTTAATCGCGCTACTAAATGCTGACTCTGTAGTCAATTTTGAATCGGTGGTAGGAGTCGTGTTTGTCGAGAAGTTACTGAAAGCGCCCGATGCAGGCTTGATGGGACCGAACGCGGACGTCGGAGCAGTTGACGGCACAGCGCTGGTCGCAAACGATCCAAAAATTCCTCCAGATTTGGCCGGCTGGGACATATCGTTAGGTGCACCCAAGCCCATTCCGCCAAGAGAGGGAGTGTCATCCGACATAGACACAGACTCCTCGCGCGTCATCTGAGGAGCGGACATAGAGCTCAATGAACTCGGCGTTACAAATCCTCCTTGTCCAAACACATTATGAACCGATGCATTGTTAGCAAGACTTGCGAAGGAGTTACCTCCTCCAAAAGCATTTGACGATGTCGCCGCTCCAAATGAAGGGCCTCCGAACACATTCGATGACGTATTCCCTCCAACTGTGCTCTCACTAAAAGCACCACCCGACGAGCTTACTCCACTGAACGCACCGGTTGAACCACCACTAAACGCACTAGACGAACCGCTACCAAACGCGCCAGATCCCGCTCCAAACACTGATGGATTCGCGGGTTGCCCAAACGCCGAAGGCTGGGTTTGCAAACTGTTAAATGCATTCGTTGGCTGTGACGTCTGCCCGAAAGCTGACGGGGCACCGAACACAGACGACGACGAAGCCTGTCCAAAAGGCGACGGCTGACCAAACGCCGTGACAGTCGTGTTCTGTCCGAATCCACTTGTTCCAAACGCCGGAGCGGCCTGTGCGCCAAAAGCAGAAGGCATTCCAAACGCCGATGTGGGTGTGCTGGTTTGACCAAAAGCGGAAGGCTGACCAAAAGCAGATGGCGCTTGTGATGGCGCAGAAGTTGCTGGTATAGTCGTGGCAGGCTGGCTAAACGTTGTTGACGATGCTGGAGTGGGCGCAGCTGCGGTAACAGTCTGAGAGGTTATCATCCCGGGATACGGTTTTGAGTGTTCCAAATGCCAGGCTTGAACAGTGCCATCATCGAGGTACGCATACATGACGGGTTCGCCCGCCTGTTCATCCGTCAGGTCTACAGCTAACCCCAGAAGAAGCGTATCCCCCTGGTCGTCATTCAATGGTAGAGAAAGGGGATTTTCTTGCGACTCTTGGTACCACTGGGTACCGATGCTCCCCAGGATCTCAATGTCGACTGATGCCTTATCGGCAACCACGACGAGGGACTTGGACTCTGTCGCGCCTGTTCCTTCGTCCCACTTTTGTAGTGCAAGTATGTATGATTGGTTTGAGCGGTCAGATGCTGGGAAGGGGAAGTTGGGAGCGTAATATGTCGCTGTCGGTGTCTTGGAATCGACACAGATGATGTGTTGCACGGGATCTATCCCTGGTCCTCCATAGCTTGTCCTGAAAGTGTGACCGGGCGTAAGCCAATCAAGCGAAGCAAGTGGACTTTGATGTGTTGGCGGAATGTGTTTGTGTATGGAGCTTTTGTTGGTCAACGGATAGGTCAGAATGTCACCGCTTTGCAAACCGATCGCAATGTGTTTCCCCTTTGGAGACCATGCAGCTACGGATGATAAGTTATATCGAAGGTATAAAGTACACGAAAGCCTACCTGCAACCGGCGCGTTTCCTGATGTAGAACTCCATCCCCCCTGCACTTCCAGCTTCATATTGTACAAAACAACTGTACTGTCTGAGTAAACCACTGCAAGGAAATCAAGAAGATTTGGTTCTGGACCAGGATTGGGCGTTAAGACGCGTATTGGACCTCTATTTGGGGGTAATGCACAGATGGGATTGACTGAGTCATTACCGGCTGAGAAAAGCGCGGCGGTGTCATAAGCTAGAAGTTCGCCGCCCTCGAATGCAACGAATAAACGCGTATCATTGTCTGCAAAGGCAACAATGGTCGGTTTTTGAGAATTGAGTTGTATTGTTCGTTGAGGCGTAAAAGTCCCATTGCTGGCTTTGGCACTCTTGAAGGCGGCGCGTAGATCAGCTAATTGTGAGAAGACCAAAGCTGCGGCGCGGTTCAATGACAAGACATCGAAGCAGAGAGAACTATAACGTACAGTGTGTCCCGTCATCTTGCAGTGTCACGGCTGCAAACCATCCTTTTGAGTTCGCAGCTGCAAAAAGAAGGTAAAGTACATTTGGCAGGTGTTGATACGGCTTCGCAGAGAGTTTGACGCGATCTTGCTTGTTCAATTGGCGAAATTTGGGGTACTAATTGAGCTTCAGAACTTGAGATCCTTCACAAGGCATGAAGCGTACGTTAAAGCCATCTGAAGGACACTCTTTCGCAGTCGGATTAATGGAGGTCTGAGCTGCTTGTGGGACAACCAGTTGCGTGAAGTCGTCGTTCATCATCGTGAGGAACGTGCCCTATGAAAGCACAGTGGCCGTCAAGTGGACGTGAACGTTGTTGGTGGCGGTCCAAGCGAAGTCAGGGTCGCGGTGCGCAAGGTTCTCCTTTGCAAACAAGGCCATTGCTACAGATTTTGCTTACTCTTGTAATGACCAATGCCTTCTTGGCTCAGTTGGCTAGAGCGCAGGTCTCATAGAAATATGACATGGGTTGCACCATGTAATCCTGAGGTCGCAAGTTCGAGCCTTGCAGAGGGCATATATTTTTCGAGCGGAAGGTTCCCACTTTTGCCGCGTCCCCAAGGACATAAATCATCTCTCATGGGGTTCCTTGACGGACATCGCACCTGCCATCTTCACATTCTTTGGTGTCCTCGCCTGCAGAACCCATGTGATGTTCTGGTCGAGCCTTCCATGGAGCATCAAACATGTAAGTATAGCAACCCGAGGCCGGCCGCCAATAGTTGAGGATGCATATTCATTGTCCGGTCCGTCCTGGTTATAACGTTCCTCACATGTCTCAAATGTGTCGATAGACGTCAGGCTGAATACTATGTACGGAGCTTGTCCATTGTACACATTTGCGATCAACTTAATGGTTAAACAAACATACTTATAATTCTTTTTTTACTGGTGCTCGGAGTTCTCGGACCTCTATCACGAGTAGCTAGGTAAGCTAAGTATGACGAAACTGTGAATTCTGATATTCTTCGATGTTGTCCACAGAGCCTCAAAATCACGTTTCTTCCATCCCCCCCCCGGAAAGCTAAACTACAGTTTACTCTGAGTCAAAGTCGATTTCACCAGCTAGAAAGCAAAGCGGTTTAAAGTAATGGAAGCCACTATGTCTTGGGGTTCAGCGAGACGCGTGTTCAACCGTCTTTCGCGTAACCGCGAGACCGAAGGTGTCTTCGAGGAATACTGATAGCCGGTCACATGATAATCTCAATTTTTCAAGCGATCGGCCAAGGCTGTAAGGTTTTCCCGAAAGATTGGGGGAGGGATGTATAATAGCGGGTCTACGGTCAATCCTTCTACATCATCACTCATTCCACGTCCTTGACGGTCGTTTACACACACACGGTCCAATGGCCACAACTTTTCACCCCCCAATCCCTCTGGATAGTAAATTGGGCGCCGCGTTTCTTGGAAACTTGATAGCCGGAATGTTCGTCTTCGAAACCCCTGAGATTCTCTTGCTCATCAGGAATTTGACGTCTGTTCTAGTTTCTTCGGGATCACATGCGTCCAGGCCTATCTGTACTTCATTAAGTACAGTAGGAATGATAAACCATGGTTCAAAGGAATAGTGCGTCTTCGAATCTATTCTCAAGTTCGCAGCTGATTCGGTACAATAGATCTTTTTCCTCTGGTGAGCTCTTGGCGCCCGTCAATCGATTTCATCATTATTGATGTCAACAGGATCTTGGACACAGTACACCTTGCATTCGTTACACATGGATTGTATTTCTACATGGTCTCAAATTTCGGAAACCTTGCTGCTATCGCTGCACCCCCGTGGTATGTATCATTATCACGACTGAACGATTCCAAATAAAACTTAATGAATTATAATTCATACAGGAGTCTCCTTGTACGTCATAGCATATTATATTAGCGACATTGAAACGCCAACAGAAACCCTCCAGGCCCAAATCTATGTCACGGTAAACAACTTTCTCTTTTCAGTAGAGATTGAATAACTCATCACATTTTCGACCCAGTGCATTAGTGACGGGATCGTCAGATGGTAAACACAACTTGTCTCCCTTCTCCATTTTCTTACCTGGCCTACAGTATATTTGGCGGTCGCGTCTGGCTAAGTATGTGGTGTAAATTGACTGTTGATACCTTGACTGACGTTATTTTTCAACGATAGTGACCCGCAGAAATTATATTCTGATTGCTTGCATCGTAAGTGTCTCAATATCATCTCTTGGCCGAACTTGAGCTGATTTTCTTCTAGGCCTTAACTTCAACGTGCACATTTGGTACGTCGTATATATCGCCGACTTTAGAAGCTTAACCGTGTTGATCAACCCTAGTTACTGGAATCGGTAAGATTTAGTTCCTTCTCATATCTAGCGCCATGATCTCATCCTGAAAACCAGCATTCGCTACACGAGCGTTCGTCCTGCCCCTATCTGAATTGAGCCTCCCCTTACCTTCATGATCGCATATAGATTCGCTGTGAAAGAGTTCCGGCACTTTTCTAAAATATCTGTGAGTTGCAAAAGCTCCCGTCCGGCGTCGATTTCCTGATCAATCTGTATGCACTCAGTACTTCCTGTACACCTCTCTTGGAAGCGGTGTTGCAGCCGATCTTTTAATCGCCGGATCCCTATGCTTCAGTCTCTCCCAACGTCGGACGGGTTTCACAAAGTACATACGGCCTTCCTATGATCCTGTTTACGCCTACTAACTTCCTTGTCAGGACTGACTCTCTAGTTACCGTGCTAATGATGTACACCATCAACACAAGTAAGTTAACAACACCACATAGACCGAGTTAAGACAGACACTGACATGTGGCTTAAACAGGTCTCTTGACGACGTAAGTCCTTGGCGTTGTTTCACGGCGCCGCGTGAAGTTGACTTAACTTGGCCGCTAGAATTTGTTCCACCGCTTGCTTTATCACCTACACCATATGGCCGAATGAGTTCACGTTCATCGGAATTTACTTCTCGCTCAGTAAACGTGAGTCCACCATCATGCATGTCCACAATGTTCTGACCTTTCTTTGGCGGATCAGTGTTCCTTAACAGTCTACTAGCAACGCTCAACGGCCGTGAGTCGCTATCAGGAAAGCTCGCCGGGGTGTCAAACCTCTCCAATCTATCCAACAAC